GAAAAAAACACAGATATATGAACAAAGAATATTCTTTTCAATCAGTTCTCTTAACGATAGACAATGGTAGAACCTGAATAGAATTTATTAAAAAGAATGATAATTTTAAGCCTATGATTTCTTAAACATAATGAAGAATGACTGACATAATAAATTTAAAACACAGCAAAGTATGTTATGTGGAAGCGACTAAATCAAGTTGATGGTAGAGATTTTGATAACTAGTTAACTGAGCTGTTCTATAGTGAAAAAATCATTCATTTTAATCATGAAATTTGTTTGCCATCTAACTTAATGACGTAAGTCCTAGCGATTTTTCATACGTACCACTTATTAATTATGCATAATTTGTATATTTTTTTCTCATGTCATTCCAATACAACTTTGCAAACAAGATCAGTAAGTGTTCAAATGTGTATGGTAAATCAGAAAACATTCAATTACATTGTCTTAGCTAGTTTTAAAGCTCGAAAATCTTGCGAATGCATATTAGCATACTGCTGAGTTGTTTAAGAATAGGAGAAAAAAACATTTTTTACTTATTGACGATTTCATTATGAGTTAAGAGATGAATGTTTCAAGTGATTAAACGCAATCTATTACATATATAGTGTGGAATACAATAATTTTAGTATTCTTATTTTGTGCAATGAATGATAGCTTGTTCACAGATAGATGGATGGATGAATAACATAGGCAGTTCAGTTGACAGGAAAATTTATGCAATAAGAATAGAGACAATAAACGCGTTAATGTACATTTATAATGACATCTTTCAAAATAGCATGAAGTGAATAGTGTAAACAGAGAATAAAAGGTTACTTTTTTCTTTAAAAAAAAAATTCTGTTGTAGTCATTATTATTAGTAGTAGAATAGGTTGTTGTTGTTGTTGTTGTTGTTATACAATAATTAAATGTGACAAACTGAACATCCAGTTTCATGTAGTTCTATTATATGTTAGTAGTATATTTGATAAAATCGTATAGCATCATAAAATAATGTCATCTCCAGTCAATCAACAATAAGTCTCATAATCTTTTTACGATAAGTTTTGATATTTCTATTTGGTCAGTTTATAAACAATATTTTTGAAACCGTGAACCGATCAATGTTAGACCACCATTAGAAACCTGGAAGCACTGGACGGCCGTTTCGTCCTGGTATGGGACTCATCAGCAGTGCGCATCCACGACTCCTGCACCCCGCAGGGTTCGAACCCAGGACCTTCGGTATTGTGCGCGAACGCCCTAACCGATAGACCACTGAGCCGGTATCTAACGGTGTTAATGTCTAACTTGATCAAATTCACGGAGTTGCGCAACCTCATACACAGTCTTCGGTAGTTACTGTCTACACCCGAACAGGTTGAACTTCACTGGTCACGTCTTCCCACTAGAACTCGGAGAAGATTCCTCACGAAGCAAGTCACTAGTGAGCACAGGTAATTTACATTAACAATCTTCACAACCCCGTAATATAAACAATATGATTTGTTTTTAACAGCATTATCAAACTTTAAAATAAGTGTATAGTTTTTAGCGGCTTTTTTAATTTATAATCGACATAACTAAAACGTTCAATAGTTTGATGAACTTTTTAGCTATTAGTTTAGTTTCATAATTCACACATAAATAAAGATAGATTTGTCGGTGAAGCTTGTCTCAATTCAAAAAGACACAGTCATTTATGATCTTACTCAGAGTGGTAATGAAGAAAAAAAAATCCTTAAACTGAAATTTTTGATTTCATTTTATTTTCCAGTTTTATATACTACCATTTTTGTAGTGATTGTAGACAACCTGTTATATATAAATTGAAGCAATGATAATCTTATTTATTGCTTACGCTTCAGTCAGTTAACTTGATTAGGACATGAGTTACACATATCAATTTATCACCAACCTTCACGCTTAACAATGACTGAAATGGAAACAGGTTGGAAAAGTTTAGGCAGAGGTATCTAACTGAGACTAGGTACTTCTTTAAGATTCGTTTGAATGTCGGCTCGATGTACCTGAAGCAAGATAAACGTGTTCGATGATATACACACCCTAGTCTTGTAATTAATCTTCAGAGCCGTCATGCATTAATTTTTTACCATTTTACCTTCATTTGAGCGTTATTCCTCTTTATATACTTCAACTCCTTTTTGTCTTTCGAAATATAAGTGGTAAGTTGATCTGAAAAATTCCTTTTAACTGGTTGTTTAACGAGTTAAAAATAACTAGAAAACATAGTTTTAAATCACATCAATTTCATTTAAAAATATCACTTGTCTGTAGAATTTTTATCTTCATCAACGATAACTTGCAAAAATATTGAAAGTGATGATTCTGATGCATACTGGTGAGTTTAGACTGAAAAATGGGACAAGTGTATGCTTTTTCATATTGTTTACACTGAAAATGGGAATTTTCACTGCACTAAATTATACTTATTAATATAAACAATAAAACTGATGCACTATAAAGTAAACGTATTCGTAGGACCGGTCAGATAATAAAATTAGAGTAAGGAAAATGAAAAGTAGATATTAAAAATCCGGATAATTGTCGTTTAAGAAAGTATCTAAACAACACAGTTATATAATTGATTTTTTTTTTGGGTTGAATAAACATTATTTTAGCGATCAAGTTTATCTACTGATTTCTCTTCACTAGTAAACTAGTTAGCCAAATCATATTTTCGTGTGGTATTAATTATCTATTAAAGTTGAAAAACTGTTATAATCATGCTATGAGGTTTCAATTGTTAAAGTAAGCAGTGTTTCATACACACGAAAATTAATCACCTATGATTATTAACAGTCTGATACATGAATCCAGCTGATGGTGTGGAAATCTACTTCATAACACAATTTCTGTATGAAAATTCAACCAACTTTGTTTGAATTGCTTATTTTTGTAATTGCGTTGATGACTGATTCACCTTTTGCGTCTGCTGTAACAATGATTACAGTCTGTCGACAAACGTTGTATATGATGTTCTGTACTGCTACTTAGTCTACTGCTTTGAAGATCTGATAAAAAATGGCAGATTCACATTATCTATTATGACTGTTGATGTGATATGTAGCTATTCTTAATCAACGTGAATACATAATAAACCAAAGTAGATCAGTAAATCATGACATGTTAATGTTCTTTTATTACATCGGTCATCAAAAAATGATTTTCTCTGTGAGATTTTTTGTTATTCATTTTAGTAAGTATAATTTACAACTGATTAGGTCATCCGAAAACAGATATTACTTAGAACAAATAAAAAAAAAACTAAACAGAATCCATTAGTCAAAAAGCAATCATCTTTATGTTAATCAGCTGCTTCGAATGGTCATTTCAAGACAATCTATTCATGGTTAAACAATCGCTTTCATTATAGGTATGCTTTCATAATTTATCTAGCCATCCTTTACAATTCTTTGGACCTATTAAAGTGACATGTATCCTTAATATCACAATCGACTGATACAAGCTTATTTCAGCAATGATAAACTAGTTGGTTTCATTTTTTTTTACTGTGCTTTGTGTAAATGATTAAATAGTTTTATTTAATAAACAAAAGATCAACCATAGATTGCTAATGTTTATTTAAGTTTAAAAAAAGTGAACTGAGTGCCATCACTCTTCAAACTAATTTAACCTATAATTCACGAGTATAGTAGGGAAGTGTGAAGTATTCTAAGCATATTTAGCTATCATGTTGATTGGACCTGATTATTTTATGGGGTATGATTCGATTTGCAAACTTGATTACACAGAATCATAAAAGGTTAAATTACATAACGTACCTTTTCTAAGAGAAAACAGACAAACTGACATTCTCGCTACTGAATGAAACAGAAACGAATATAGATATACTCTTGAATTAAGGATTTCATTTTTAAACCCTCAAATCTACAGTTTGTTGATAAAATCTCACAAGATCCGGGTTAAGGACGACCACCTTGAGGACTGAGATAATCAGATCTCTTACTCAAAGTAAACATACAATTAAAAGAGGTTGATAGTAATCGGCAGTAGGATCCAGGACGCTCGTTTTGTCCCATTTGGAACTGGTCAGCTGAATTTGCTTGCATTTCAAAGATGATGTTCGCTCCGGGATTCTAATTCATTGTCCTTCTCTTCAAACGCCGTCAAGTTACTGAAGTCAGATAGCTACTCGTTTGTCTAAAGACTTGAAGATTACTTCGTTTGTATTGGTTGCTTTCGTGTTTGTATTGATGTTTAGGACTGAAATTTATCAGCCTCCTTCGGTATTTGTACACTCTCTACCGATTGCCTTTACTGCTAGCCTCTATCCACCTCTGCTATGAATGCTTGTGACCTAATGACAATATCAAGGATGCACATATGCCAAAAAGACTGATCCACTGTAGCCGTAAACATCAATGGCAAGAGTCAAACAACCGACTCAAATGAAGTAAATACGGAATTGTTTGGTGTTTCCAACTTTAAGGTTCCAAGTCTAGCTGAGAGTTTTTTACTATCCAGGAATTATATAATTACACTTGAACAATCGTTCGTTGCATTCTTCTGTGAGTTCGAGGTATGATGTGACTATTATGCATTTGAATGCCTTTTTCCGCAACAATGTTGTGTAGTTACCTTATAGGATATAATTCCAAATTTCTTCATTCTATACAACTATCGTTAGTTTAAATATATATCCATCTCATCATACACTTGTGGAGATTGTGGAGTTTCACTGAAATCATGAATTGACCAGTTACTAATAAGATTCTACAATGATAATTATCTTTTCAGAATACCGCAATAAGATTAAATCTTTCGATTGGTATTAGTTCTCGCTTCTGAAATATAGTAACTACAACTGCCGAAACCGAGTGAACGATATGTGCTATGCTTGAGAAAACAGTAAAAATTGTTTTGAATCTGTAAAAACATGAAGCGATGCACAAACATAAGCACGATATTGTCTTTTCAGCACTTATTGATAATTTCTGTTTAACGTTCTGTTCTTTTGTTTTTATTTCCAGTTACCGCAAGAATGTTTATAACAATATGACATCATTTGCTAAAGCATGTATAGGCTTTTCTAATAATTTAAAAAATTTACGTTTCACTAAATCAAATACACCAACTACTTCTTCCAGTATTACAGTGACTAATTCAACACCTACCATGACTAAGTCGTCAGTAGTATTAAATTTTGAATCGGATACAATGAAAAATTCTGTGACGAATGAATATATTATTTCAGTTACCAATAAGATTGTAGCGAATAATGCTAAAACTAACAATCCTCAGTTCACTATTAATTCAACTGAAGAAAAATATCGATTTCAGAAAGATCATGATAACAGTGAATTAGTAAATTATAAATCTACTCGCTTTACAAATGATAAATCTACGATTTGTAATAAATTATTCTCTATCCCTAATAATGTCAGTACTAATAATCGTTGTAATGATGCTAACACCACTAATAACAGTACCACTAGTAGCGGTAGTGCAAATCTGGATGGTAAACTTGCTAATGAAAAGCAACCCTCATCGACATTAAACAACCCAGGGGTCATAAGGCGTAGTGAAATTAATTCACTGGAAAACTCTGCAATTCTTTCTAGTACAACACCTATGGCACAAAACAGAACAAACATTATGCCTAATGGATATGTTAATAATGATTCCCTAAAAACTGTGATTTCGAATTCTTCTGACTATCAGTTATCGAATTCGAAAATCTCGAACTCATTACCCAATAGTCCAGTGCCGAGACATAGTTTCACAATGAAAAATAAGTTCTCATCAGAAATTAACCAAGATTACAAACATGCTCATAGTAATATAAATAGTTTAACAGATTCCCCATTTACATCCAAAACTACACTTTCACCAACTATGACACATCGTTTAGCAATGCTTGCACGTAACTATAAAAACAGTATTGTAAATAATTGTAATAGTATCAACGGCAGCGATTCTACTGGTGTTGCATACAATCGTTATTCAAATAATTCAATTTCATCATCATCTTCACCCTTATCCTCTCATCGGGGAACAACAGTAGCTGCTATAAAACAAAGATTATTAAATCAAGGACTACATATTAATTTGAACATTCCAGTTAAGAAATTCACATGTACACGTTATCGAGATTATATAAGACGTCAGAAAAGAGGTTGTCCACATACAGTTGAATCATTATGGTTGAATAAGAATTTTATGAACAATATATTTGTTTATTTAACTGGAACCGAACTGATTCACTATTCTATTGTCTGTCGTACATGGTATGAGTTTATGTGTTTAAATGGTTTCCAGAATAAATTATGCTTTGTCTTAAACATCAAAAAGTTAATTGGAGAAATTGAAAACAATTACGAAGATTCGAAATTAAATCAATGTTCAGATTTTAAAGATCCAGTAATTAGTTCAAACGATAATGATTACATTCCAATATCTAATGATTTATTGTACAGATATTTAGAAGACTCAGTTCGAATTCGCATTGTATCCGCTATAAACAGGCACCTGGAGACTATTAAAATTGTACAGTTAATTGAGAGATATAGTTCTATATTGTATAATATATTAGAAATGCTATTAAACCCAAATCGCAATGTAGTTTTCAGTCCAATGTCACAGTCCTCTACTATGGAATCTGATTTCCCTCAAATCAACACAACAACCAACAACAACAATGCATTGACCAAAACTAAAACATTTAACAACCGAATCTTACTGACATCAAATCAAAATTGTTCTCCGTGGATGAATATAACAGACGAGAAAAATCATCTAATGTGCAAGACTAATGACGGTGTTAGTTCACTCCTCAGTTCATTCCAAAACCAAGTGAAACAGCAGCAACAAAATGGTTTTATACAGGACAAAAATCTCATAACAGCGAACTATGTTATTCAGAATAAATCATCACTAAGTAATGATTCATTTTCTATACCGAGTGATACATATATGCTTAAAAAAATGAGTCACTCTAAGAACTCCGTTTCTTCAAATCTCTCCACTCCAGAGAACACTGACAGTAATTCTACATACACACATAAGTTTACTCATATGATATTCAAATCATGTAGCATACTGGATCAATCACTGTCACGTTTAATAAATTTATTTCCTTCTTTAAAACAATTAGAATTTGAGTGTTGTAACGATTTTACCGAATTGGCTTTTTGGTCATGTCTTTTACCAAGCATTGAATATTTAACAGTGTTCGATTGTATCAACGTTTCAAATGAAAGTATGAATGCCATTGGAAATCTATTACCAGAACTAAAATGCTTTAAATTTCAAGCTTATCACATAACGGATGCAGCTCTCAGTTATTTCAGTGCAAAACAACGAATCAATATGCACACAATGGAATTAACTCAATGCATGGATGTAACAAATCAAGGTATAATGACACTGGCTTATACACTGAACAATCTGCGAGTTTTGAGTTTAAGTGGATGCAGTAAACTAACTGATGATGGTTTAGATGTGATATGTGAAAATTTAAAACATTTAATATCACTGAATTTATCATGGTGTTCTAAGATCACTGACAGTGGATTGGAATGTGTAGCATGTGATTTAATTCTTCTGAAGAAATTACTACTAGACAGGTGAGTTTCACTAAAGTAATGAATATAATTTCTTATAATTCTTCCGCTTATGATTACACATACTTTTATTTTAATTTGAATTATATAGGTAGATACTAAATTAATGGAATATTTAATACGACCGTTTTAGTGTTATCAGCAGGTCGTAGCTGTATCTACAATCTTCAGAAGTAATTAATCCAATGAAAATCTCGTTTTAGGCTCTATTATATTGTCTTTCAATTTTTTGGATGAAGAGAATAATTTCCACTTTATATTTAAACTCGTAGGTCGTTCTAAACTAAAAGTGAACTATTCAGTAAACTGTTTTTTTTTTCATTTTTAGAGGTATTTAAAACACTGAAAGTTCACATACATCAGTACCTGTTATAAAACTTAAATGCTATCGGACTGCGATCGATTAAGGCACTACAGAGAATTTCATTAAAATTTTTCAGGTTCTTCAAATGAATATCTTCCAAATGTTTTCACACATGAAATTTAGGAAATAAGATCTGTTTTCAGAGAATTTATTATATATATATATATATACATCAGAGTTGAGAAATTCTTTGGTGAAATATCAACAACTAATAAACATGATAATGTAACATAATAGTTGGTCTAAAACAGCTCTCTCACTGGCTTAAGGATAGAGAATCTGTGTTAGTGCATGAACTTATAGTTATCCGTTATCTGAATACAGTGATTTAAGTGTTAAATGCAAGACAACATTTTCACTGACGTAATTACCGCTGAATAGTTTTGCAATCATTTACAGTACTAATAGCTTGCATTCGACATCATTTTAATATAATCAACTTCATTATACCAATAACAATCATTTACTGAAATAATTTCGATAAAGTGCTTTTAACTGTAACGATGATGAAAAATAATTTTCAGTTCAGCTGAAGGATTTTGAAAGTGTTTCGTTCTCTCAGCTGGATGGTTTAATCATGACAGAACTAGCATGTTAATCATTTGTGAGGAAATTCTAATAGCTCACTTCTTTTTGAAGTATATACAGATGACGTTTACAAATACAATGAGAGCACCATTCAACCAACCAGTCCAGAGAACCCAACACCTCTAAAATAACCAGGGTGAATTGTGTCAAACTTGTATAATACATGTGAGTTAAATATTCTGAATTTCAAATAGATTTATTGAATAAATGCTTATCGGAGTGAAATTTGGTAGCCAATGAAATGTCATTAAGCTGGCCTAATCAAATGTTACTCTGCTATTTTAAAACATAACAGTTCAATGAAAAGCTGTTCTACACATATTGAGGAGCAACTAGGCCCACAAACTGATGCCCGTTACTGCTCTATGACCTATTCTTTTACATAGTTCGGTCTCGCAAACAAATCCAAACATGTCAGCATTAATTTTATCCAGTTTAGACATTCAAAGTATCAATTATATTTCAAAAGGTCTTCGAAAATTCGGCATTTTATAGATATGGATTGTGACCTGTTGATGTTCATACTAAAATTCAAACTGGAACCTACTGTTTCAAGTGCCAACGCGCTATACACCAAGCTACTGAGTTAAATATGCACCTTGTTTATTTAAGTTCTTACAAGCGACTACAGATTTTTTAACGCAAATAAAAAGTGATTTATATTATCGAAATTAGATAAATGTGAATCGTAAAGGATGCTGTCTGTAGGTGTTTTTAAAGCGATAAATAGAAAATAGAATTTCTGACACTTTGAGCCTTAGTGTTAGTTGTCCCTTCACACAATAAATAGGTAATTGAATTCAATTAACACAAGTTTAAACAATACAGAGAAAAAATTATATTTGGTACAATCGAAATTGGTTGGATCATGTCAGTGTCATGTTGTTTCTTTCGATGTGATTCAGTGTGAAATATTATTGTTTACTTTATTTAACAACAGTGATTGATAAAAACTTTTTTAAAATAAGTCTTTTGAGATTTTTACTTTTTTTTAATAAGTACAACGTATATGTTACAAAAAACTAATGACATTCTGACGGAATAAGGATTTCTAGACATAACAATACTTTTAAAAAAAAAAAGATAAAATCACCTTGAAGTAAAATTTTCTCTTAGTTGATTTTATCATAGTTCTACAGTTTCAGTATTCTTCTTTCACTGAAATTCAATTTTTTGGATGTTTTTAATCGCTGTCATCATCAGTGGTGGAAAGATATAAAAAAAAAACTAGTTGAATGCCAGATAGAAAGGTTTACATGTATATTCAGCTAAATAACAACATGAACTCCATATACAAATATAAAAAGTTATGAAAATAGATGAGGTTTCAAAGCACTTTAGTAATTTGTATTTGTGATGTAATATTTAAATAAGAATAACGCCAATCAATAAAATGTATTAATTCCAAGTCTAAGCAGCATCAAGTTTCAGAAAATTGAATTAAAGTAGTGAAACTATATATTGTGTTCCAAACAAACATCTACTTTTGAGTTTTTCAGTTTGCGTGATGATGACAATTTTTTGTGTTACGAAAATCTGTCACACATAATCAGTTCTTTCCGAAATCTAAGCATAACCTAAAACCTTACTACTTGCGAAGAAATTCCAATCACTTTACTAAATAACTTAAGTCTTGGAGTTTTTCTTTACAACGCATGTGTATGCAATATTTATAACAAAGATTTCGTGCACTCTTCTCTGTTAAAGTCCGGTTGTCTTATTCCTTCAATCCATCTAGTTATGAACGATTTGCTTGCATATTAGCCGCATCACCTGGACCTCATCATTCCTTGAGTAAACATTAATGCCAATAACACATGAGATATGATCGATAATCTCTTAGTCTCCGAAAACTCGGGGTACTTTTTAACTATTGAGTTGGAATTCAACTGCACACAGTTTTTGAAAGTTTTGTCACTAATTATCTGTTAGTTTAATATTTTATTTGTAGTGAAATTATCGTCCTTATTTTGAGATCGAATTTCGTTTTAGACAAAATAATATAATCCAGTGTGTTTTCTTGTTAAGTAAAAATCAATGATTTATTGGTTGATCTGAAATTTCAAGGTCAAAATGATCGTACCAAATACAATATAAATATGACATAATAGTTTCCAAAAGCATCTACCGAACATCAGGCAGCGACTGTTACTTAAAATCAATCATAAATGTGTGGATGGCACAGGTGCATTCATTCTTTGTGTTCTCTCAAATCCTAACCTTCAGAGTTCCTCATCACCTTTATCTTTTTAAGTTTATTTCACTAGATTCTACATCTTGAATAATATCCTCGAACCCTAATCTCTCCGATTACTTCTAATACTTCACTACCTCTACTAATATGGGATTTGAATTGACAATTGTATCTGTGCTAATGTGGTATGGCAACGAAGTTCTACGTTGCTGTTGACTGATTAAATGTATGGAGCTTGGCTCAACTACGAATCACTTCGCGTTATATCCACACAATAACCAAGAACGTTACTAAATAATTTCTTCAAGATTCATGTTGAAGAAAACGTACCCCATGTTCATTGTGATTCACTTCAACAGTAGACGGAAGGCTATATTAACACTTTAATTACTTGATAGATTGTGGTTATTATGCTGACAATTGATTTGACTTATCAAATGTAGTATTTTATGTGAATTATTTTTAATATACAGTAGTCATATTTTAACAAATTTTTAAAACTCTCCATCAGAGCTGCTTCCGTGTATTTTTAAATAAGCTGTCAAACACGAATATAAATGATAGATGATGTCATATCTTTTTCCAAAAATTTGTTTGCATTTAGTAAAACTAAATTCGAATGTAGTGTATAAAAGAACGAAGATTATAAAGATTTCAGAAACAGGAATGTCAAACAAGCCTCAAACAGGTCTCCGTACTCATATGAGTTACAGAATCATTTGAATTGTTATAATATCCATTTTAATTACTGTTAGTTTAGAAATTAGCCTTTGTCTTTCAAAAACAATATTTCGGATTGATGAGAGCAATAATGATGATAAAGTTTTAAGAGAAAAACTACTCGCTAACATAACACCAATTCCTTGGCTTTACTATTAGAATTTCATAGCTTGGCACTTAAAATGTAGACATAAAATAAAACGATTGTGAAAAAATTTAGTTGTCAACTTTTTAATCACCACAGAGTGTACCCCTAAAAACCTCATCTCTTTGCACTTGAGATAAACACAGGTTGCATTTTATTTCACTATTTAATTACTAGTAAATAAATCAAACTGGTTGATTCACACTAATACATAAGCATAGTTCTTTAAATAGTTTTATAAAAATTTCACACATTTTGAAGATAGTCTTTACCATGAGCTGATATCAGATGAGGAACCATTTGAAGACTAGAGATATGTGATCTGATAGTATCGTTCGCATTATAAGTTGTCGAGAACCTGAGTTCGTCTACGTGTGTACAGAGCTTGCATATTCCTAGGAAGTCTCAAATCAAGACAAGATTATTATGAAACCTTTTACCCTTATTGTCAAAAGCATTGTATTTGAATCATTTTCATAGAACTATTTATTTGATATTTTTCTTCAATAATAAATGTGATATTGAATATATAAAAGGTTCTGTTATCATACAAATTGTGTTAAAATTATTTTCATGTTTATCATGATCAAGTAACCGTTATTGTTCATAAAATCAGGACTGTCATTCTGTAGTTGCATGCAAAACTAACCTTTTCTTAGAAAGTTCATTATCCCGTTAGAGGACCGACCGTATGTAGATTTAAACTTAACAACTTCAAACTTCACCATTTAAAACCGGTAGTTAGCTTAATTTTGATTTGCTTTGAATTTTCAATAATTTACTTCCAGACTCAAAATGTGCTAACTACAACTAGTTCGATTTATTCGCTACTGTCATCCAGAATTACCATCCGGTTGTTAGAGCTCCTACTAATTCATTCAGAACTGGTGCTTGAGCTCCGCGTTGGTAGTATACCTCCTAAAAAAAATGATATTTTGTCGTTCTGGGTACTTTATTAATGCTAACAGGAGTAGTTGACAGTAGTATATGACCGAGTTGCATGTAAACCCCTATATTTATCTGGTCATATAAGGCCTCAGTAAATACAGTTTTGCGAGGTACATAAATAACAATGTTCTCCCTATGTAGTTTTCTTATTACTGCATTACGCTTTCATCAAAGTAATACTACGATGAGGCAACGTGTCCAGGCATATTTGTGACAGGTATTTGATGCCGTTTGTTCAACTACATAAGGTAAATAATAAACCTAATTGAATTATATTATCAGTAGTTTGGAGCCTTTGATTTTTCACACAATGACTTCAGTATTTAAAGCTCAAATTTCTAAGTATGGTTCAAATTGACAATCACTTTATGAATAGGTTAACATCATACTTACATTGAACCAGTGTTTTCCTCCGTCTTACTGGGCTGGTATTTCTGCTGAACATATCCCAACCAGCAGTTTGTATAGTTTACAAATGTTTGTATAAGCCACGCCACCTACCGATATGGAGCCATGTGTATTGGCTTTTCAGTAACCGTTGTATTCAACAGAATACAGAAAGACTACTCTGCATGAATATAAAGAGGTAGTAGCGGATGGATAGAGAATGAGGCAACCAAACTCCATGTCAATACTGGTCATTTGGTTATCACACACTTATCATCTAGGGTTATCCAAACTCTGAAAAGAAATGTTCTTTCCAACTTTGAAGCATATGTCCTTCGTCTAGAAAATCATGAACTAACAAGACTTGCGTAACCTCCAACTATAGCTCTCATATTTGGTCATAAACATCGACCTACTACTTAGCCCTGTCAACGACCAACTTTGAACTCATTTGTGCATTTTTGTATTGATATCCCCCAATTTATTGTAACATGTTACGCAACTGATTCACATATTTATTTACCTTTACCCAATTATCATGGTAGTTTTGAATAACAATAACAATAAATGCCACTTGTTCTATTTTAAAGTATTTTCTACTTTACATACAGTTTTATAACTGTTTTCAATAAATTTGCCGAATCACGAATAAAACAAATGTATATAAAATAAAACCAATGAATTTATTTTTTTCTATTTGTTTCATAATAGAAAGTAACTGAATACTGAAACAAATTAGGAAATAATAATAGTAACTGATGCAATACACGAACTGAAATTGCAAATGATACTCGCTAACCAGAACCAACTGATATGAAACCGAAGTTCAGGATTTTCTTTCTATTATTTTTAGCCATGTCACATCAGAAACATAGGAAGCCATCATGTGTAATGACTTAGCCAGCGGCCACATTTCCACTTGATCGATAAAATGTGATTAGTGATAGCGAATAAAAATCAGAACATTGGTTACCATTAAACAACGCATCAGTATATTCAATTCAACGAACCAGCACAATTTACCAATTTTCAAAATTATACTAAGATCATCTACCATGTGTTGTTGTAATTTTACCACAAAAAATTTTTCAAATTTTCCTTAACTAGATAAACGTAGATACATATGAAGTATATCTGTATATTATGGTCATTCAAAACCATTGTAAGGTAAGCTGAAAAATCGTAATCCACTGACTGCAACTGAAGAACCAGAAAAAATAAAACAGCTATACAATGGCTTCACATACGTATGAATTAGTTTTATCATAAGATTCAATTATTGTATAACTCGTGATCAAATTACATGAAGAATACATTTCTTTATTTTATTAGATAATTATTTTAATCAATGCTACATCATAGAGTATCATAAGGAATTCTTAACACAAGATATAAAATTTCGACGGGAGTTCCTCTTAGTCAACATTTTAAGTGTAAAAACTCATCAATAAAAAAATATGGACAGATGGTTTTATAACAGCGATTTTCAAGCAGCCAATCTTTCAAAAGAATGTTATGCATTAGTTAGGATGACATGTATATTTTGTATTTGGCTTTACATACATGAATTCTAATTTACACACTTATCGTTCCATTAAAGGATAACTGAGTAAAGAGGGTCGATTGTGTTCCCTTGAATAACATTGATTAGTTGCTTATACGACTTCATACGTTTAACCACAATCGCTCAACTAGTAAAGTCAACAAGCGTAAACTTAGTTCACATTCAAACTCATAATTTTGATGCTGTATCCAAACCACATGTCACGTTTGATGACTTTAGACTGATAACTGTAGCATTTAATTTGAACTTATTTTTCTGAACAAATTCGTCTACATATTTGAGCTGTAATGTTATTAGTAGTGTACAGAAATAACATTTAAACATTTGCAGGTCGTTTGAGATTTGGTATTTTTTTTGGTTTATAATCATAAGATAATTAGTATTCTTGTTTCTAATCACGAATTTATTTTCGATTTTGACATCTCCAACCTCCCATTTATCCGTTTTCAATAATTATAGGTGTATAGAATTGACTGATATGGGAATAAGCCATCTAGCAACCATGTCTAATCTTCAACATCTCAGTGTAAGATGGTGTATCAACTTATCAGATGGTAGTATACCTCATTTACTTAGTACCACAGGACTAAATTATTTATGCTTAAGTGGTAAGTTAAATATTTATATATTTGTTTGACGACAATACTGTGTTTATTGAATACGCACTTTAAAAATCAGAAAAAGGAGAATGAATGAAGTAACAGGGATTATAATTTTCTGTACACAGCTAACCAACAGATGCAAGAATGAAAGCTATTCCTTTATAAGGTACATCAAATTAATGTTAATGCTGCATACTAATATTGGAAACAAATAATCAGATAACAATTTGTAGTCTTTTAGCTTTCATATCAATGAATACGATTTACGGGTCTATATGTCTAGTTTATATTCAAATCATCTCTGATAGCTAACTACTAGTTGGTGTGAAACTTTAGAGAATTGATTTAGGAAGCAAAATCTTAACTACAATATTTTGGACGAGAGAACAAGGTCATTTACATTGACTGATAAACTATGAAGTACATTTAATGATTCATCTTTATATGATATATTTCATACAATTCTACTTTCATACGACCTTGTTTTTTTTTATCTGAAAAGGTTGTAAAAGAATAAGTGAAGATGGTCTATGTACATTAGCTCGTCATCCACGTTTGAATTACTTGGAATTGGCACATTTACCAGCAGCTACACAACCAGTAAAGTTGTATTTAAACAAAAATTTACCCAACTGTAAATTGTTATGTTAATAATACAAAATAATGTATAGCAGTGTAGTATAAAAGATATATTATGCGATAAATATACTTAGTTAATGCATTATCGTATAACTGTCTTTTATCTTCTTCCATTTTGTTCAAATAAAGAGCATCTTCTTCTTTACAACAGAATGAAACTGAATCACCTTTCGTTAACTTCTAATGTTTTATACATCTGCGATATAATATATAAGTAAATAAAAAAGTTTTTATTTTCACAAATTTACATAATTTTGATGTGTTATATTTTTCGTCTACTCAATATCCATATATATATATATATATATATATATATATATATATATATATATATATATATTTTGTTTATTATGTTTTCATTTCTTTTTAAAAAGGGAGGGATAAAAGTGCATACATATTTTCTCTCTTTTTCTCCATTGAAATCATTATCATCAACATTTGTATTTTATTTTTAGAAAAATAATCACAATAACAATGATAAGAATAAAGTTTAACCTTTTGTAAATACATACATCATGAACAATAATATTGTAGTGTTCTCTTTCAGGTTAACTGACCCACCAACAAGTCACACCAAGTCCATCGGCTACAACTGAACCCTATAATAGGAATCAAAAATGATTGGAGAAAATAGTAATAATACTCTCTTCACAGAAACGATCAAAGTAAACTACTCAGTAGCTAAACAAAATAATAATCTAACTCGTTAATCGTGTACAGGTCTGTGTAATAGTTTTTAATCTACACTTGTCGTATCAAATTCACTAAAGTAATCAAGTAGGTGAAGTGTCATTGGAACCTGTGAAATTCGAGTGCCATGACCATTAAACCTTAGTCTATAACCCTTGAAATAACAGCTGATCATTGTAATACTTACTATATATTTACTTTGAATGGATTTATCAACAGCCCTAAGAATATCTAACTGTTGGTTCAATCACGATCAGTAACATTTTTTACCAGAGCTTATCACCGCGTTCTACACTAAAACTGTATGCTTTAAGGCCTAAATTAGGTTTGAATTTGAAATTAAATAAAACAAAGTGATATAAGCAAGTTTATCCAAGAATTCATCGAACCGCTTACGCAACCTAGGATACATTGTGTAATCAGAAGTATCGAAAACAAAGAGCAGAAAATTTGTATCAGTAGTTCGAATCTTCCCATTAATGCATAGGACTGCATTGGAAGATTCAAATAACCAATACAAATGAATCAGTCTTCATACCATTGCACAAGCGAGTGGAAATCTGGAATCAGTAGTCAAGTAGAGCGTAAAGGTATTAGGTTAGAGTGACGGAGTGAACATCAACTCTGAGATGCAGGTAAATCCAGCTAACCAGTCCAAAATAAGACGAAATGTGCATCCTGAATCTCACCGCTAGCTACTATCCACGTTTGCTAAAAAACAGAACAGTTGAATCATAATTAATGTTTTGGTGGTTACTACTCAGGGCTTATAGTAGTTATATAACAATCACTAATAAGCAAACATATAAATCGATTTATGAGATATGATTAGACAGGATTACATGAACCGCTGTCAGTGAACAAATACAATAAATATTCCATATTTAAAGTAGCCTTATCAAAATATATTTTCTGTTTGCATTAGTTGACTTACAGGATATAAGTAAGCACAATTGTGTCAATGAAGTCAGACTAATTTCATAGCATTGACAATATTTAACTGCCAGTTTTATTTTCAAGAGCCTAAACCTCAGATGCAGCAAAACTGAGGCTGACTTCTCACATTAAGATATTACCACGGGTCTAATGAAAACGAATTATTTGAGGTACCAGAAATCAGTCTTTAACATTTAGGCTGTAGAAATAATATAACCACAATCGAATCAGCCTCACTAATGTATTCATGATATAAGAAGTGCTGTTTATTCGAAAGAAAAAACTAAACGAATTCCACCTTCTGAAACTTTGATCGTATAGTTCTATGATATAATGATTTCTTTCGAACAACTAAATACCAGCGTGTTTGTAATCATTACAGTCAAATCACTTGACAGTTTTTATCGTGAAACTATCAACTAGTTACTTCAATAATAGAAACACATTCTTCTAAATATCCAATTACAGTTTAATTTTTTTAATAATTGGTAAACAGACAGAAAATATACATTGAAACTTAAAGATGGGCGAAGTGTAGTTTGGTGAAAAGATGGACTATCAGAGATATCACTTGTTGTTAATAGTTGTAGTTAATATTTCACTTTTTGATTTGTCGTATCGTGTTATGCAACACATTTCCACTGTCAATATTGTTTAGATGCGTTTCACAACAAGTTTGTTTGGCTTTGTAACTCCTACAAAAGTCATGTTTTTTAGATCTCTAATCTTATACAAGAACAACTTACTGAACATTTCTTCCTACAATTTTTCGCTTATAATGAGTACACGACAGTTATTATTAGCGAGAATTTTACAGATTACAGATATATATATATATAATGATATGAATGAAGTAATTTTTAGTGGGCTGATAAACTCTGTCCTTACATTCCAAAATCACACTACTTTTCAACTCTTTCCTGATCTGTTAGAACAATATATATTACTAATATGTAGATAAGTAGCAAAACAGAAAACGCATAATATCAATGATACATCAGGTACAAAAAAACTACAAAATCAAGACTTCTTATTGCAAAGTGCCCTCATTAACTGAAAAGCAAAACGAAAAAAATCAATCCAAATACATATTGTTGGTCGACAACATGGGTATATAAATGCCGTAAACGTAATCAAGCAAAGTAGAGCTACAGCTTTAGTCCTCTAAACAGATACAGACGTCAGTAAAACCCAATATATGAACCGAAGAACCAAATGAAAGTACTGTGAACACTCTAAAAGACCAAAAACAAGTTAACATTAGTACTCAATCAGCTCAACCGAACAATGGAGGCCTGTTTGAATACATGAGCTACCTTTTTCCTAACATCAAAATATCTCAACAAATTACCTCTTTTGTTTGTTTCAACTCGTCAATTATGTCTTAATCGTATAATCTATTCAGCTGCATATATAAAAAGTTTAAGACCTATCGCTTCACAAGATACAAACAAGTGCAATCCGAGACATCTCAATGACTGGAAATAGGTATTAAAAATGAAATTTTTTGAAATATTCCGTGCTGAGAATTCTATATTGTACTAAAGATATGATATTGAATATAGCCACTGTTACTATATTATTGTACTGAAATGAAAAAAAATCAAGAAAAGGTGTGTCGTAGTAAGTAGTCTTAACAGTAAAACGTGGATTTCAGTGTTAACTTTATCAAAAGGATTTTTATTTTGAAACATGGATTGTACAGAATGAATGTACCAAAGACTTTATATAACATAACGAAATATCTCTAAGGTTAGGATTTTTTCAGGTAACTATGAAGAAGAATGTTTGGAGTGCCAGGTTTAAGGGATAAAATAGACTTCGTAAGTAATCAGAAAAGCCCCACTTATAAAACAAAACCAGCAATAAGAATAAAATTCTAAAACTATCCACACTTGTAAAGAATATAAACCAGTGTTTGACTGAAAATACCTCTTTTTTCGTCCCACCGTCAAAAAATAAACCGAAAAATACCAATCATAAGGTAACCTTGATTGACTTAATAAAGGACTATGTGTGGTAAGTTACATGTACGTTTGTACAGGTCTTACAGCAATAACTAGAAGTTTGAAACCCTTTCCACATGATTATTGCGAAAGTTAAGTTCAGTTAAGATTCGCTTTTATATTTAATGACTTCACTATGAAAGACAAAATTACTGTTCCTTACTGCTGAATTTAAAATTCCTAATGAATGGGTTTCACTACAAGCCCTTAACTAAATGGTTATCTACTGCATCTACGTCCAAGAGGCTGAAGGTTAGAATTTCCCATATACTTGGTTTAAAACATAGGAAGACCGTAGCTTCCAGCTAGTGAACTTCAAAATAGAGAAGAATGATTGCAAAATACTGCAAGGTTATCGATTTTTGACCAGCTAACTTAGATTCATGATAGCATCTACAATGTTAGATACTCATCGTCACACTTACATAAATCACAACAGAAGTGAAAACTGTGGGAATATTGAAAAAATAAACTCACAATTATTGTGTAGGGAGCCTTGGTTTCAATTAGAGAGTCGGGATTACCATCACCGTACCCTAATGGATCACTAGAAGTCGAACTATTAGTTTTGTCGCTATCGGGATTCGGATCAGACCAGACTTCTTCAACCACACGAAACCTACAACCGACATTGAAAATAAGGATAGTACCCTACTAATTAAAACCAAAATTTAATGCAATAAGCAGTATTTTGAAATATACATGAGGAGACATCAGAGTGAATTCTGTAAAATGGATTTAACGACATTGAGACCAAGTGGAAGAGACTTAAAAGCCTCGGGAATCAAATGAAACTACTAGATATTTCGATTGAAATCCAGAAAGCCTACAAGTGATGGTCGACTGAAATTCGACACAGGGGCTCATGTTTCGCTTTAAAACTTGATACCATCTATAAACCTACAGGGAACACTACAAATTACAATTGTCTTTAGATAGCCTAAAGGCAAACTATCCTAGTTCTCTAGATTCGTCAAATAAAGACATATTAGTAATCAAGCTCCAGTCTTTTATCCATGTTCCGCAAACACAAAAAATACTTGCCAATACCTAGTTTGACATGATATAGAAAGATATTTCCTTCTAAGGAAAGAGAAAAAGAGGAATCGGCATTGTTACTTTTACCTGCCAAACCCTACAAACAACTGATTGAGGCTGGTTACACAAAAGCTTTACGTAGGCAGTTTTCACTGAACTAGTTTTGTACTTTCCAAACATTATGACTAGCACAAGAAAACTATGGGGTAAGATCTTTATCACCTTATCCCGACCGTAGCTGCTACCTTGATGTGGTGTAGGGCTTGCCTATCGTGATGATCCAAACGAGCTATACTGGCTGAAAAATATCTTCATGAAGGTCTTACCATGCCAGGCAGGTCGATTGGAGAACGATGAGACTAAAACCAGCTACTCAAGGTTTGAGGGCGAAGTCGTACTGCTGACTGCAGAGGATTGTGACAGCAGTAAGGTGTTTCCCTCGGACAACCAGCATCTGCAGCGATGCTGCCTTCTCACAGAGAAGGAAGGAAGGGTTAGAAAAGGTCGACCCTAAAAATGTCACACCCCACCCTACCTCACGGATTTCCGTCACCGGTGGTAAGGGCTGCCCACTAAGGGCTTTTAAGAGCAGAGCTAATACTCAAAAAACCTCTCATAAAAAGGCCGTGCGTGACCGGCCTCAAGCAGTTGTCCTTGAGCTCTGCGGTCACGCACCCAGGTCTCTAAGACCAACTCTTAACCAACTTTCTTTTCAGGTTCCTCAAGAAACACCCTTCCTTGGTGTGGGCAGCCGAGAAGTGACAACCGCCCTCATACCCGTAACAGCACGCGAAACCGAATTGGTCAAAATCAAATCCTACCTACACCCCTTATTATCTCTCTTATCTCCACGACTAAGTCTTCTCACATTCCTTTATATCCCCGCACCTCTGCTGCAAACGATTCGAGTCCTCAAAATGTTCTTCCTGGTCTCTTGAAGCCCCGTTCTAAATTACATGTTGGAGCATTTAATGTACGGACATTGTGTTGAATTGGGCAACAGGCTTCCTTAGCTAGGACTTTAGAATCTCAGGCCACAAATGTGTCCTGCTTCTCCGAAACGCGCATACAGGATACAGGTAGCGTTATTCACTTGACCTCTCCGTCAGAGTAGAGGATATTCGTAGGTTACTGGTTTTCGGTCATAGGTGTCTTCGAAGCATTGCTCGAGTATCGTGGGACAACCGAGTAAGCAATGCTGCCGTTAGGAAACGAGTACTAGGTAAGGATGGCAGACCAATCGATGAAGTATTGAAATTTCATCAGTTGAGTTGGTTCGGACATGTGTTACGAATGCACAACCACCGACTGCCGCGACGAGCTATGTTTTGTGGTGCAGGAATAGGTTGGAAGAAAGCTAGGGCCAGCCAAACAAAAACATGGAACAAATCCACGAAGTCACTGATAAGTGGACTGAGTCATGTTGGCAGATGTAGGCTACATGGTTGGGGTCCGCCAGACGAAAGTCACCAATGGTTAGAGACCTTGAATGACATGGCTCAAAATCGTTTGCAATGGTGCAGGTGCATCTACTCTTTGTGTTCTCTCAAATCCTTATCCTCTGGAATCGTCAGCACCTCTACCTTTGTCTGTCTAACATTATCTCACTGAATTATACCTCCTGAATAACATCTCCAAACCCTAGTCTTCTTTATTACCATTAATACCTCTACTATCTCTATCACCATGGGATTTGATTTGACATTTGCGTCTCTGTGCTAATGTGGTATGGCAACCTGAACTGATGTACTTACGTACGAAGTTCTACGTTGTAACTGACTGACCGACTGACTTTATCACCTTATCTATCTATGGATAAGTATGATAGTTAGAAATTCTGATTCGTAGAAAACAGCTTACTGCTATAATTATAATCAGCAGTACAGTTTTGTTCCTGAAGCTCAAATATTTTTACTTCTGCATTTATCTCACTGAAAACGATCCTTCTAGTGAGAGGACGTCGATCAACAGGCGCGAAAATCAGATACCTAGGCTGGGTTGTAAAAGAATACAAATTTGGTCGATAGCTTCAACTGAACAAACACTATTGAGAGTTCCATATCCGCTCTTATTTTAAAAGCGGGCAACCAAATACATGTTTAAATTTTCGGCTTTGAATCACACAATATAGGGGTTGATAAAACCACACTCACGTTTAGAATGAAGTAAGTGAGTCGGATTCGGAACCTGATTCGTCGGAAACCTAATTTTCTAACTATGAAGCCATATCTCAATGTAGAGGTGAACCAAGAACTAGGACCGGAAAGTCATTTACTACTCTGGTTTAGAATAGTTCTTCAGCTGGAATTAGTTTCCGGTGAAAGTGGTCCTCAAACAATCCATATCATACATTATGAGAATTTCGCGCACGACATTCCAAGAGAAAAATTTATGCTAATAAGATCGAAGATTGCGAAGAAATGGTTCAGTAAATTGTGGATATGTCTAAAAATCAGATGATTTAATCTGATATTAATCGCCTCCACAAACTTATTCTCGTAATCATATCTCAGCAAACTAACTTACGCTTAGTAAGCCACAAAAATTTTATCTCAACACAGTATTAGACTGTAAAAACCTTGAAACCATACCTAATCGTATCATGTTTATCAATGCGCAACTCAGCTGTTTCACCTTCGTATGCATACTCCCATATCCATGCATTCTGTTCATATTCGCTAAAATGAGGTAAATAACAAATCGATGGAATTTACTATCGTGAAGGTGAGCGTAGTTTTTCTGCAGGTATAAAGACATCATCAAAAAAGTTCAATGACACACGCAAACCAGCTTTGGAGAGAGATTTTACAGTCCCAATGAGAATTTCTTCAATGAATGGACGAAAGCAAACGATTCGGAAGCTCACTAATTAACTAGTATTAATATGTAATTCAATTTCCCTACCTGTAGTATAGTAGGCACCATCAACATCTGATATAAAGCTTTCTTCGACTTTCAAAATGTCCCACAATGAAATGCATAGACCAACTTTATAAATTACCTGAAATTAGAGATATTCGAAGGTTAACTTTTAACCTAGAGGAGTTTTCGCGACTAAATGGCAAACATCTGGTAGTTGAATATGTACTGAATACCTAAATGAGTCACATTAACTAAATTGAGATGACTGTATCTCATAGACAAGCTAATACCATTTGAGATAGCAAGTCTTGGATTTTGGTGCGACATTAATCTGATCACATCATCAAGTAGCATTTCTGCACTCCGTATGATGTCAGTTCATGATGAAAACCTCCAACACTAATTGTTAACCCTAATGCCCAAATGGTTAAGTAGCATTTCAGTATCATAGCTTATGTCAGTTTTTAATGAAAAACCCCCAATATTGATTGCTAAGCCTAACATTCAACTTGATAACTATTACCAATCCTTTACACTAATTTATAATCCTATTATAACGGTAGTAGGAAGATGGATAATCTCAATGCCATTTTTGAGCAGCTTAAATGTCGTCCAGAAACAAAAAAGTCAATAGAGATGACTATAGTACAATTAAAGGCGAAATGTCTAATTTTCCACATTTACAACAACTACTCAGCAGAAGTTCGAAACATTGAATAACTTCAGAAAATTCAATAGTTTAAGTCAGGCTAGGCGAAAGTTTAAAAACCAAAACATAGCACAGATAAATACATCCACATAATATCTTTATCCACTGGAACAGTTAAGATTTAAGAGTACATTTGCTTATAGAAAAAAAATGCTCACTTTGTTGCAGAAACGAGAATTAAGCTCATGCTCTATTATTTCTTTCATATCTGAACCGAAATAATTAGGCTTAATAACAACAGTATCCTTAAGTGAAACAAGCACAAACATCACTCAAACGAGTAACGCACACCTTGAATTACCACCGTCAATATCCAGTACGGTTCCAGTTATTGAGTATTGTTCAACCGATCGGCGTCTAGTCACTCGACTTCCTGATTCTAGTCAGTTGGCAGTTGTTTGTGAGTTTGCGTGTCCCGTGATTTGAATGAATACATTTGCTTCAGGGCTCTAGGGTTTCTGGATACCAACCCAGTTAGTCGTAATATGGAGAATAATAAAGCGAAAATTCTGGTTCTAATAAGAATAAGATTTCAGAGCTAAGTGAATTTAGTTTATTAATTGGTAGTGATGATTGTGTGAGAAGACTGAAGTGTGAGCGAGGGTAGGTAAACAGAGATAATAGGCGAGATATATTAAGTTGTCGATCTGAGGGGATGGCAATAATAACAACTAGCATGTCTTAAGACATGCATCAGGCATAGCTGGTCCGCGAGGACATGAGTAAGCGTTTATCAAGTCTCTTCTTAAAGCTATCGATTGAGAGGGCTGTAATCATATCAGATGAATGAGCCTTCCAAGTTGCATTAACAACGTTAAGAATAACTGTGTGGTGATAGCGCCAAGTTGTCTTCGCATTAGGTGAAGAGTTGCATTAGCCCTGGCTGCGTCCCCAATATACTTCGAACTGGTGTGAAGGCTTTCGGTGGTGGTAAAAGCGAGACTGCTCTATGAGGAGGCTGTAGAATCCATTCTGAAGGCTTCTTTTTTGGAAAAATGCTTAGTGTAAAATCCATTTTGAAGACTTCGTTTTTGGGAAAGTCCCTCCATGTATATATATATATGTGTTATTATCTTGCTGACTCTTTCTGTTCAATAATTTGGTACTCTGTCTAGTCCCAATTTGAGATGTTAATATTTGTATTTTGTTATAATTCCTATTTTTTATACTTTTATTGGAGTTCATATATTTCCTTCTAAACTGCAAATGTGTTGTTTAAATTGATAACTAATATGGCTACAGCCATATTGGATTTGATACCTCTGTGGTAACTTCGTATGTTTGACTGGAAGGACGCATTCTTCCAGAATGGGAAACTCATTTTATTGATTTCGGATCGGAACAGTATAATATTGTTTAGGTAATTGTCTATATTCCTTTTTTGATTAATAATAGAACCGTTCTTACCCAGAAAACTTGTGTTTTTAAATTAGACTGGGCAAGGAGCGTTTCTGACTTCTAACTGGTTCACAGAAGCGAATTTTCTCTGGAGGCATTTGAGAACGGACTTCGTTCGAAGGTGTTAGTCGGTTGTGTCATTTGGGACAGAAGGTAAATAACTTTTAATCCGCTCCTCACTGCCTATTCCTAAACGGATGTGTGGTCCTTTTTAAGCTCAGTTGGATCCTCTTCGCTTCTTATGGACCTCCGGATCCATGCATCGCCTGCGTAGTAATGCGACTGATCTGTAACTGACTCGGACCTTCTTTATCCTACTTTAAGGCTTGGAGTGAGTAGCTTGTTTCCATTGTGCTAGTTGTTGTTACTCCATGGAATGCTTGAAAATGTCACATACCGGTGAAGTGAGTGCATCTGCCTACTGTTTCAAGACTATAGGGCGAATATTTTCACATCCTGGTGATCTTCCTGAGTGCAAGGATTTTAGGTGTCTTAGTACTGTGGAGATGGCATGACAAACGTATTTTGAATTTATTCTGTTAATTTTCGACTGTTTGTACATTTACTATAAAATGATTGTACATGTTGTTTAAGTGTGTTACCTTGGATACAAGTAACGTTGACTACCCGATTTTTCCGTTCTGTTGTACACGTAGCACGGCACTCAATGCCTGAGCCTATCAAATACACTTTATACACACAACTTATGTTCTCATTCGTTCATTAATACGCTAATCGGATTCTAATACGTATATTGTCTACATTTATAGACTACAGTCATACGTATAAACTACCTTACGGATATTTACATTAATTGTATTACTAATCTCCTATAATTGTGGATTTTTTAGTACCAATCACAACCGAACACGCACAAGCAGCTGTATAAAGTAACGTCCTTACATTTTTTGATTGTATTTATTACATTTAATCGATATATTTCAATATACATCTGTTTGTGTTCAATAACTTTGTTGATATTTTGAAATAATACATTGATTGGTCCACCACAGTACTAAGTTAGGATTAAGTCGGATGTTCTTCAGCTGGCACCATATGAGAGTAGTACTCTGAATGTGTATATAATTGCTTTAATTGGTTGGTGAAGTTGGTGTTATAGATCTCAGCCAACAGTGCATGAAAACCGTAAGAAAAGTAGCTTCGCATTGCCTGTGCTAGCCTAAGTTTATGATCTTATTCCATTTGATCTAAACGTTTTTAAAACACACGGATCACGTTATGAGTGTAAAAACAGTGGCAAGATTTGCACTATTCCCGGCCTCTCTACAAGTCACCGTGGGCTGTTGTTCAATCCGCGTTCTGTTTTAGCCAATAAATATCTTCAGAATTTCATTAGTGGTGAATCATTTTGTTATAGAAACATGTTGCATTTAAAACCTCTTAAGCGCTCGAAACCTACCTAGAAACACGGCCGAGAAATAGAGAAAGGTATGAGAGGAATGAACAAAC